ATTTGCATTTATCTAATGACTGGTGATAATGAACATTTTTTCATGTGCTTAATGGCTACTCATACCTTATTTGGTGGAATGTCTATTTAGGCGTCAATTTAAAATTTTTAATTATCTTACTAACAGGTTTTATTTATTTTGGTTGCAAAAGTGTGCTTTACTGATTTCTCTAAGTCTATGGCTTCTTATTTTAAAATGTCTTTGGAGTACAATGGTTTTACTGGTGAAGTGTAGCTTAAATTATTTTTCTTTGGTCTGGTACAGTAGCTTAGTGCCTAAGTCCTCAACTTGCACGCACCAGGATCTCTTATGGGCGCTGATTCTAGACCCGGTTACTCCACTTCCCATCCAGCTCCCTGCTTGTGGCCTGGGAAAGCAGTCAAGGATGCCTTGGGATCCTACACCAGCGTGGGAGACCTGGAGGAAGTTTCTGGCTCCTGGCTTCAGATTGGCTCAGCTCCAGCTGTTGCAGTCCCTTAGGGAGTGAACCAGTGGACAGAAGATTTTTCTCTCTGTCTCTCCTCTCTGTATATCCGCCTTTCCAATGAAAAAAATAATAATAAAAATAAATCTTAAAAAAAAAAAGAAATATCTTTAAAAGAAATTATTTCTCTTATTAGGCTGTGCTTTGGTGTGATATTTGAGAATTCTCTGCCTAACCAAAATCACATAGACTTCCTCCTAGTTTTTTTGTTTTTTGTTTTTGTTTTTAGTTTTTTATTAAAAGATTTTACAGAGAGGATAGAAGTCTTCCTTTCTATATATACATTTTATATAAGAAATGTGTATGTTATGATCCATTATCTATTGCTTTTTGGTATGCAAACTCCGTTTTTTGCATGTGGCCAAACAGCTATCCCAGCATCATTTGTTCACTTTTGTTATTTTTTATGAAAATCGGTTGGCCCCATAAATAATTTATTTCTAAGGACTCAATTCTGTTCTGTTAAGTATGTCATGTCTGTATCTATGCTATACCAACTCCATAATATCTTCATTACTGTAGATTTATAGAAAGCTTTAAAATCGGGAAACCTGCATCTTCTCTGTTCCTTTTTAGTTTTGGTTCTTGTCATTTGTTTCCATTTGTGTCATCTTGTAAATTTCCTTAAATATACTTCGAGATTTTGGTAAGATTTGAGCACTGCCATCCTAACAGTGTCAAGTCTTCCCCTCCATGCAGGTGCTGTGTCTCAGCATATAAATAGCCCCTTTACCTAGTCAAGTTTTGTGGCTTCCACTGTGAAACCTTGCAAATCTGTTGTTTACTTTTTTCTAAAAATCTTACTCTTCTTACTGCTGTTGTAAATGGGATTGTTCCTTTATTATTTTATTAATCATTGCTAGAATTAGAAATATAATTTTTAAAATCATATATTCTGGAACCTAGCCAAGCTTACTCATTATAGCTCTTCTTTGTGGAATCTTTGGTATTTTCTATGAAGAGGATCATGTAATCTACAAATAAAAACAGTTGTTTCCATTTCCAATCTAGAGTCTTTCAATTTGGGATAGGACCATGGCTAGCTTAGGGTCGTGAGCTAGAAGCCACTGACACTTTCCTTCAGATATGTTATCCTGTCCACCCTCTTGTCTGTTAGATGGCTTCTCCCCAGGGGCTACCTCCCCTTACTCGAAATGAGAGGAGTGTCCTGTAGACCCAGGGCTGCCGTCAAAGCAAGTAAAAAACACCCCTCTCTGACCCTCTCTCTTCCTGGCCCACTCCATCACTGAACATGGCCCGTGTGTGTGTGTGTGTGTGTGTGTAAGATTTCCTCACCTTTTAAAATAAACTATCACTTCATCATATTTGTGCCTGTGCTTAAAATGCTTCTCCAGGGAACCCAACCTAGTCCACAACACTTTCAGAAATCTATTTACATAACAAAGCTAATGCCTACATATATTTCCACCCCTTGTCATACACACGAAAACAGCAACATCAGTTTGTTAGACTTGAACATATCTGTTACAACATGTCTTTTTTCAATTCCTAGAGTGCCTTCTCTTTCACAGTTACAGAGAAGACATACTGTTACCCAACAGTCACACTTACCTCCCTGTCATTTCTGTTCTTGCATACTTTGTTTATTTGAAAGGCAGATAGACTTTATTTGAAAGCTAGAAAAGATCTTCATCTGGCTCCTGCCCCAGGTGCCCACAACAGCTAGGGCTAAGCCAGGCTGGTCCAGGGCTCTGGGGTAAGGACCTATGTCCTTGAGCCATCATCTGCTGCTTCCCAGGACACTCATGATCAGGAAGCTGGACCGGAAACAGAACCAGGACTCAAACCCTGACAATCTGAAAGGGGAATTCAGGTGTCCCAAGCTGCCCAGCCATATGCCTGTCCCGTTGGTTTTATTTTTTGTTTTTCAGTGTCATATTGCTCTGCTAGATCTATACTAGCTTTCTTTTCAGCTGAATATGTAAATATTTTATTCTTTCTAAAACTTGGATAACTTGAGAAATGAGGCTTTTGTTCCTTTTTCTAGATGGGGAGTCTGGCATGAAGAGGTTGTAATCTGCTAAATGGAGACAGATGGTAAAGGGAAGATCTGAGGCCAGCCTAGGTCTTTGGGTTCCATACCCAGAGTTTTTCCTTCTACATGAACATCAAAACTATTGCCATTTCTCCTGTGTGATGTGTAGGCCTTCAGAGTTGCCTCTCCTAAGCATTTCACTTGATTTGGCCCATCATTCCAGTCATTATCTTGGATCCTGACAGCCATTTAGGTCTTATCCACTTTGCCCCTGTCCCCCCCCCCCCCGCCAGATATGCATTATGTGGAAGTTATTTTGCTTTCAATAGCTTCAAGATGCTGCTACATTAAATGTTCAGAAAGAACCAAAATCCAACCCTGTGACTGCCACAGAGCATGTGCCTAGTGAATACTTGCTGGATAAAGTTGGTTCAGCCAGTTATGGGTCTACAAATGTGTCACTCAACCCATAGGACTTCCTTCTGTTCTTAAAAATGGCATCCAATATTTTGCCTTTTTTGTTCAAATCTGAGGGTACCCTACTACACACATTCCTTTCGTTAGAATTTTGTCATTTGACCATGTCTACTGGCATGGCTTTCTCTGCCTGCCTTACTGAAAAACGGCTGGTTTGCTAAGCCCTAGATGCTTGCAAATGACCACACTGATAACTGCTCCTAAATTTTGCAGGCCATCACTGTCAGTGCCACCAGTTTGCGAAGCTTCCCTCTTTGCAAAGTATTATCTGTCCCCCGATGTCTAACATAGCTCCTCCTCTCTAAGATTCTGCTGCAAGTTTCCTGAGGACCTTGAAATATGGTTTATCTAGCTCAGGGGAGCCTGGGCCCCTGAGCATTGGTTCACCTCTCACAAGCTCGGTTAAGTGGAAAGCCATGTGGCATTTACTCAGAAGATGGGTGAGCAGATCTCTCCTCTTCAGATTCCTCTACTCACCCTAAGTTTGTTTTGATGACTACTTTTAAGAAATACTTTTTTGTATTGTTTGTTCAACTATATTTTGCTAAGCTTTGTCGTCTACCAATATCCCACCGTCAGTACCAATTCCTGACCTGCCTTTTGCTGCTCTCTACTTTGAACATAACCCAGAAAGGCCACTGGACTCCATGACGCTTTTTGTACTTCCCCATTCATGACATCTTGTTTAGGCTGCAGCTCTTTGGTGCTTGTCTTGTGTCACGTGCCTGGTCTGCTCTTACTGGGGAGCACTCTTGTAGCAGCACATCACTTTAACCATCTCCAGCTTTATCTCATGTCAAAATTACATGCAGGTATCTAGGGCCAACCCTGTGGCATAGCGGTTTTAGCCTCAGACTGTGATGCCAGCATCCAGTTCGGATGCCAGTTAGAGCTCTGGCTGTTCCACTTCTTCCTCTTCTTTTTTAAGATTTATTTTTGTTTGAAAAATTTACAGAAAAAGAAAAAGATCTCCATCTGCTGGTTCATTTCCCAAATGGTCACAATGGCTGGAGCTGAACTGATCAGGAGCTTCTGCTGGGTCCCCCACACAAGTGCAGGGTCCTCCTTTACTGCTTTCCCAAGCCACAAGCAGGGAGCTGGGTCAGAAGCAGAGCTGCCGAGTTATGAACCAGCATTCATGTGGGATGCCAGTGCTTCAAGGTGAAACATCAGCCTGTTGAACTACAATGCTGGTCCTGCTGTTTGATTTCCCATGGGTCCCTTTCACCCACTCTGGAGATCTAAATGGAGTTCCACGCTCCTGGCTTTGGCCTGATCTGATTTGGGGAGGGAACCAGTGAATGGAAGAGAACTATTTTTATGTTCCTTCTCTCGCTGTGTAACCCCGCCTTTCAAATAAATAAATCTTTTAAATAATTACTTGTAGATGTCAATTCAAAATTCCTTTCACAGTGCACAGGGTGATGCTTGGCTGGCGTTCACCTTCAAGATTTTCTAAGTAGGGCCTGGCATGATAGCATAGTGGCTAAAGTCCTCGCCTTGAATGCACCGGGATCCCATATGGGCACTGGTTCTAATGGCAGTCCTGCTTCCCATCCAGCTCCCTGCTTGTGGCCTGGGAAGGCAGTCGAGGACATTCCAAAGCCTGCACCTGTGTGGGAGACCTGGAAGTTGTTGTTCCTGGCTCTTGGCTTCGGATTGGCTCAGCTCTGGCCATTGCAGTCACTTAAGGAGTGAATCATTGGATGGAAGATCTTCCTCTCTGACTCTCCTCTGACTTTCCAATAAAAAATAAATTAATTCAAATAATAACTTAAAAAAAGATTTTCCATCTTTGAAAATACCCTCCCTAATTTTTGTCTTCCCATCTTAACACTGTATCTACACCAGTGTTGGCACGTCTATACCAGCGATGCCCATCTGATATGTGGCAGTAGGCTCACATTGTTCGCAGGATTTCTCCAGCTGAATCCTGACCATCTGAATTTGATGAGAAAGGGTTTTTGGAACCTTCTGGGCTTGCTTATCCTGTGGATAACTGCAGTTGAGTGAGATAACAACAGGATCTCTTTTGTTTTGCAGGAGGAAAACCAGACGATTTCTTCCGATTCCGTTTTATCTTCTGCTAGTACCTTCTTGAGCTCGAACTCTACCATTTGCAACAAGAAAAATATCCACATGTTAAACAAGGGTATACAAGCAGGTAACTTACTTACATTCAAGGTTTTCAGTTGCAATTAAGTGATTCTTAAACATATAAGACATTCAACCTTACTCATCATGGAAGAATAAAACTACCTGTGTACCCAGATGTCATTTTCCACCTGTAAGAGTGGCAGAAATCCCAGTTTGTGGACGAGAGTGTAGATAGATATGAGTGCCCTCATTTTCTAATGGGAGTATAACTCGGTACAGCATCTGTGAGAAGGTAACTTCGTAGTTTCTATCAAAATTACCAGGACCCCACGCTTGTACTTCTGCAGTTTGTCATGCAGATATACTGTATGTATGTGGAGGTTTAACCTTAGATGTAATCACATACGTGCTAAATGACAGGTGTTTTAAGTTAACCACTGAAGCATTGTTTGTTATAACAGGAAATTAAACTCAACTTAGATGTCCATCAGTAACTGTGATTAAATTATACATCCATGCGATGAAGTCATCTATGGAATGAGGGTGCTCTCTCTGTGGTAATCGTGAAAGATCTCAAAGATAAAAACTTATTAAAAAAAAAAAAGGATCAAGGTACATAATAGCATCCAGTACACAACTATGTGTATTTTGTATTCTTAATAAACAAAAGATGGAGAGTTGTTTGAACATACAAAAAATAATTTCCTGGAATCCTATATAGTATTATGAAACAGTGGATGGAGAACAGAAGAGAGGGCTTTTCAGTTTATGCCTTCCTGTATCTTTTGAATTTTTAAGACAAAAATAAGTTTTTTACCTCTTGATTTTTTTCATCACCCTTGAGTGTTATCCTTACCTGCCTCTTCCTTACTGTAAATACCCCTGGAAGTGGTTCTTCCTCCCGTAGAATCAGAACTGAAGCCCTTTGAGTCTTTATTTATTCTAGTTTCTGTGTAACATCCCAGACTTAGAACTCCAACCTCTTGAAGCTGGCACAGTGACTCCTCTGGTTCATGCTCTACCTGCAAGTTCTAGCATCCCACATGGGTGTCAGTTTGTGTCCCAGCTGCTCCACTTCCCATCCAGCTCCCTGCTTGTGGCCTGGGAAAGCAGCAGAGGACGGCCCAAAGCCTCAGGACCCTGATAGCACATGGGAGACCTGGAGGAAGCTCCTGGCTCCTGGCTTTGGATTGAATCAGCTCAGCTTCAGCTGTTGTGGCCATTTGGGGAGTGAACCAGCAGATGGAAAAATTTTTTTATCCCTCTCTATAAATCTTGCCTTTCAAATAAAAAAAAATCTTTTAAAAAAAGAGAAAAATAAATCCAGCCTCATTTTTTTCTCCTTCATCTTCCTCTCTTCCTTTCTCTCTCAGCATCTCATCTTCCTTCTGCCTGTTATTCCTCACCAAGCAAGGCATGTTTTTGAAGCTGAAAAGTGAACTGAAAAGGTTTACTTCCTGGCCTGAGTAACCTGGCAGCCCGACCTCAGGGCTGCTTCCAGAGCACCTGTGTGATCTTTCCCCTCAGGTAGCCTGGAGATCGTGAACGGTACCAGAAAACACACTCGTGATGTCGGCATTACTTTCCCAACTCCAAGTTCCAGTGAAGGCAGAGTAGAAGAGGACAGTGATGGGACTTCCTGGTCAGAAGAAATGATTGAAGAGAAGGTGCTCTTTACCAATTATGTTGGAGATAAGAAATTAAGGAAGAGCAAACAGAATTTCTATGAAGGTCAGTTTCTGATTTCAGGTTTTGTAGAAGAAATACTAATGAATTAAGTCTCTTGCTTTGCTCTGATTCTGTTTCTGAATGACTGTATTGACCCTACTGCCTACATCAACCACCACTTTAGCAAGTGTCCCGATGGTCCCAACTCACGCCTGCAGTTAAGGCAGAGGCAAAGGCACCCAGCTGGCCCATGACCCCTGAGACACCTGAAAATCTGTTTGCACACCTTGGATGAAAGCTGAGCAGAGTTGTAAAAACTAAAATAATAATAAAATGAAAGCTTTCTTCCATCGTAAAACTATGTCCCATAGGAGTTTCTTGGTTTGTTCCTGTGGAAGATCTGAAGTTTGAATCTAAGAAGGAAAACCTGCCCAAGATTTATGGTCCTGGCATCTCCTGGTTTGAACCAATCACCAAAACCAAGCCCTGGAGAGAGCCACTGCGGGAACAGAACTGGCAGGGACAGCACGCAAGTGATGGACGGTCCCTAGGTGGTCCAAGAGGCGATGATGGCCGGGACGCCCCGAAGCCGTTTGTGAGAGCAACCCTACAGGTACAGTGGCATCAAGTTAACTTTGTCCGTATATTGGGGGAGGTGGGAGGTGAACAGCAAGATACAAAGAAGTATCTGTGACTTGCCATTCTGAGCTGGAGTTCATCTGACCCTCTTTTCTAGCATTTCTGCAGCTCATCTCTTTATTACATAAGGGCTTGGTTTGTCCTTGTCAGTCAAAGAGCTCTCACTTTTATAGTGTGGCTCCCTCAGGATCTAGGGGCTAGGCAATAGCAGGCATTGATCATTGGGTTTACAGATGCCTGCTTAAAGATTCAAAAGGCACCAACCTCCTCCTTACATGTCCCTTGTGGACTAAACGATATGTCATTGGATGATGTATTTGTTTGAGGAGGGGGTGAAGAGCTCCACAGACTTGAGCCATATCTCATCAACACAAGGGAGAATCGTATTTGTTGCAATCTCAGTTCTCGTATTCATTGGGCAGTACTTCTCTGGTTCCCCTGCTGGGGAGGAAAGATCTTAAAGCTTCCTCCAGCACTAGATGTGTTCAAGCCTTAGAAAAAAGCCCCACACATCACTTCTCAGCCTTTCAGTTAAGATCAAATGTAGAATGAAGCTCCACAGAACTGCAGGGCAGGTGCTGCCTTGCCAGGCATTTGAAGAGTGGGTCGCGTCGTGAATGTGAAGTGGGTGCTTTTCTGTCCTCCCTAGGAAGCGCTTCAGCTCCACAGGCCTGACTTCATTTCCCGCTCTGGGGAGCGAATAAAGCGCCTACGGCTGATCGTCCAGGAGCGGAAACTGCAGAACGTGCTGCAGAGTGAGCGGGACGCGCTGTTCAACCCCAGGGTCCCACCGCCCAAGAGAGGTACACCTGCTTGTCCCTCTTCTCGTGGGGGAGTGGAGGTGAGGCTGCAGCTGCGCCGGGGAGGACTGCTAAGTGCCAGGCCAGTTACATGGACAGAAAAGTTTTCCCGTGTTCAAATCTCCTTGGCCAGCTAGCTTTGCCGAAGCCAGCCCAGCTCCTCTGGCTTTGTCACTGCCTCTTAAAAACAGGGCTGTGCAGTGAGGACAACTTCTCATAAGCTGGCTCAGTGTCCTTGAGCAAGTTAATTCCAAAGGTATAATTTTTGTTGTTAAAGCCATGACTGTAATCACAGGCTCGCCTGCTCCATAAGGCCGTGAAATACTAATAATGGTGATAAGCCCTCACATAGTCCTGTGGCTTACCCAGACACTGTTCTTATTTGATGCTTACAATACCCCTTCTAATGTAGGGACCCCAGAGAGCCCTATTGACAGTGAGAGAGTAGAGACAGAGAGAGATTAAGTACCTTACCTAAGATGACACCCCTCATAAATGAAAGAGCTGGGCTCGAACCTAGGTGGGCTGGTTTCAAAGTCTGTGCTCTTAACAATTACAGAAAGTGTAAAACTCGGTAAAAGAATACAGGAAAGCGGTAAAAACCAGGAAGTATGACTCAGTGCCTTCATCACAGCCTTACCTACGAATCTTATAAACTGGTCAGTTTTTGAATTTTAAACTGATGTTTGCTCCAGGGCGTTGTGTCTCCAAGGGACTTCAGCTCCTCTCGGTCGCTGTGGTCTTACCTGGGGCTTGGCCTTGGCCTTGGTTCCTGCTCACTGCTGCCCTCCCGGTAGTGGCAGCTCTGGTTAGGAACACGCAGCGCAGCAGCGACCGGTCAGGGCTCCTGAGTGCCACACCCTCCCTTGTTACGTCACCCTCTGACATCCTCTTTCCCCCTCGCCTAGTGTTCCTGGCCACCCAGGAGAGCAAGCCCATTGGGAAGAAGGAAATGATTCAGAGATCTAAACGGTAAGACCCACAGAACAAGAGGCACTTTTAGAACATAACCCAGGCCCCCAAGTGTCCCCCCCAAAAGAAAGGCGTTATGTTCAAGCTGAAATATGAGCAGTGAGCTGTGAAAGCAGTTTCTCACTAATGGCCCTCAAAAAGGAATAGAAAACTCTGGAACAAATCACAGTGTGAGTGACTGACAAATAAGTGATGAAAAGGATCCTGCCCGGCCTCTATCCTTTCAGCTCACACCTATTAGAACACCGGAGTGTTCTAAAGGTTCAGGTAGCATAGCTCACTAAGCATTGTGACTCCTGCAGTCTCCTCTGACTTCCGCAGCTCTGTGGGTTTGACCACCGTAGTGCTTGTCTTTCCCAGGATCTTCCAGTAGCCAGACCTGCTTGTTATCTACTGCTGGTGTGGTACATTCTTGCCCGTGGAGTCAAAGGCAGAACTTTATCACTATTCCTGCTAGCCTATTGTTTTCCCAGAAGAAGCCACTGACAGAAGGGTTTTATGATGTGTTATCTTTTTTTAAAGATTCATTTATTTTTGTTGGAAAGGCAAACCTACAGAAAGAAGGAGAGACAGAAATATTCCATTCCCTGGCTTACTCCTCAAATGGACGCGATGGCCAGAGCTGAGCCTACCCAAAGCCTGGAACCTGGCCCAGCACAGTAGCTCAGCAGCTAAATCCTTGCCTTGCACGTGCCTGGATCCCATATGGGCGCGAGTTCTAATCCCAGCGGCCCTGCTTCCCATCCAGCTCCCTGCTTGTGACCTGGGAAAGCAGTCAAGGATGGCTCTAAGCCTTGGGACTCTGCACCCATGTGGGAGATCCGGAAGAGGCTCCAGGCTCTAGTTTCAGATCGGCAAAGCTCCAGTGGTTGCAGCCACTTGGGGAGTGAATCAATGGATAGAAGATCTTCCTCTTTGTCTATCCTCTCTGTATAGCTGACTTTCCAGCAAAAATGAAAAAATATTTAAAAGAAAAAAAAAAAGCCTGGAACCAGGGGTCTCTTCTAGGTCTCCCATGCGGGTGCAAGGTCCCAAGGATTCAGGCCAACCTCCTCTGTTTTCCCAGGTTGTGAACAGGGCAGGCTGGGGCTATGTGTAATAGGAAACTGGTTACACAATAGAAGTAGGGCCTATGGGGGGCGTGGAAGACGGGCGCCTAAGGCAGCGTTGGGGAAGAGATCGCTCGCCCCCATGCTGGTGACCTCACGGCTGTTTCTCCACTGGGTCCTTCGCTCAGGATGTACGAGCAGCTGCCAGAAGTCCAGAAAAAGAGAGAAGAGGAGAAAAGGAGATCCGAATACAAGACTTACCGGCTGCGAGCCCAGCTGTATAAAAAGGTCAGCCAGTCCCGTGTGGAGTGGAGTGGAGTGGGTCAAGCTTTCTAAGTGAAGGAGAGAGAGAAAGAGAGAGAGAGAGAGAGAGAGACGTGTCTGACCCGTCTGGACATTCCCTTGGAATCCCCGCCGTGCCAGAATAAACCTGAACTCAAAATGCTGCTGACTAGAAAGATACCAGTGATAGATTGCAGGTCAGCTTCAGCACTTTGGCCTTCATTGTGGAAGACACTGTGCGTGCATCTGGAATGAAGCCAGATCCCACACACAAGCAGAAGGCATTTAGGAACTGTGATGGAAAAGTCCAAATATCAGAATTGTTTAGGTTTTCATCCCAGAATCCCAAATGGTGATTTTTGTACCCCTCGTGGCTGAGTAAAATACTTCTAGAAACATCCAAGCCAACAGGAAAGCGTCTGAGCGTGGCAACAGAGTTGTCTGCTTGGGCCAGCGGAACCTCACAGGGCTCACCACCAACTAAATCCACTTCCCGGCCCTCACTACACCTCCGGAGAGCTCTGAACGCCAGGGACCCAAAGACCAGGAGCGTGGGGTTGCAGCTGCAGACAGACAGGCACAGTGAGGAAGCTGCAGGCTCTGCACGACCTGCCCTGTACGTCCACCAGGCAGGACCAGCCCCTTCCGGGCCTTGATGAATCAGTGAATCTAGCAGGCTTACAGATGAGCCGTGTCTGTGGAGAAAGTGGGTGTTGACGAGAGATGACCATGACCTTCAGGCAGTGTCTCGTGGATGGTGACTGCAGTTTGCCGAGCCAGATTGGGGTGGGGTGTCCCAGCTGGAGCAGGGAGGAGCCGACTGCCTCCCACCACAGGACCTAACGCTCTTCCTGCCTTTCTTTTCTTCCACAGAAAGTGACCAATCAGCTCCTGGGGAGGAAAGTGCCCTGGGACTGATTTTCCTCAGAGCCTTGGAATTCTATTTTGTGAACACAGAGATATACAACCCTTACTTTTATGTGTCTGGTAGAAATAAAACTCACTCTTTGTCCACGCGTGATTCCCTGGCGCATCCGGGGCCAGCAGCGATGACAAACCCCATGGCCCGGCGAGCACCTGTGCAGCACTCCCCCTGGCAGGAGCCTGGCCCTCAGGGGACTGTGTTACAGTCATCCACTCATTTAGGTCTAGCCACGGGGAAGTGTTTTTATGTGCCTAAAAAAGAAGTAACTTTTGGTTGACTCGTGCTAAAGCCAGTCCTAGAGGGTTCTTTCTTTCTCCCCAGGAGAGATGCAGGGAGTTGGGCAGCATCTCCCCCGAGGGGAGATGGATGGTGGCCCGTCTCTGCAGCAGCACAGCCTGGTGAGAGCCCCAGGCCACTGATGGGGCTGGTTGTTGGGTGAGGGCAGGTGCCCACTGACCACCCAGTCCTGGCACACGCAGGCTCCTGGGGCCCAGAGCCCCCTCTCAGCTTCCCGCCAGCCACCCGGGTCATGGCCATGTAGGCTGCCTCTGGCGGATTTTCCTCTTCCCACCCTCATCACTTTAAGATTGAAGACCAGGCCACTGGCCATCATGTGCAAAACCCGTGTTTACAGTGTGGGCCGCAGACTGCCACAAAGTCGAGGCAGTCGGTGAGCCTGTGCACATTGAGCTCTGCGCCTGGGCCTGGACCCAGTCAGCGCCCGAGCCCTGAGTTACTGCCCATACCCAGAGCTGAGGGAACTGGTATGAGCCACCTTGCTGCAGTTCAGCATTCAGCCACAGGGCCGGTAGGGGTCAGCCGCTGCCTCCAAGGGCTTCCTGGAAGTGGCATCAGAGAGCAGGATGGCAGACCTTCCAGACTGTGCTTTGGAGGCTCCCAAAAGGAAGCTGCAGAGACGTCAGGGAAGAACTGGCCTTGTAGTCCCCAAACGCGGGCGTATCCCTGGTCCTCTGCTCTGTTGCTGGGCAAGGTATTAGTTGCTCTGCGGAGTGACAGAGTCCGATCGTATGAGCCCCGTCTCAGCTTGGAACTGCCGCGAGTGGATCTTCTAGAAGATTCTTATGTTCTGACTAGAACAAAGTAACAGGTGTCTCAAAACCTGGGCCTGGGGTCCCAGCGACATGTCCTAGTGGCTAAAGTCCTCATCTTGAACGCGCCAGGATCCCATATGGGCGCCGGTTCTAATCCCGGCAGCTCCACTTCACATCCAGCCCCCTGCTTGTGGCCTGGGAAAGAGGTCGAGCACGGTCCAAAGCCTTGGGTTCCTGCACCCGTGTGGGAGACCCGGAAGAAGTTCCTGGCTCCTGGCTTTGGATCAGCATAGCATCGGCCGTTGCGCTCTCTTGGAGAGTGAATCATCAGACGGAAGATCTTTCTCACTGTCTCTCCTCCTCTCTGTATATCTGACTTTCCAATAAAAAAATAAATCTTTTAAAAAAACCAAAATAAACAAAACTAAATCTTTTTTAAAAAGATTAATTTTTATTGAAAAGGCAGGTTTACTGAGAGAAGGAGAGATAAAGATCTTTCATCCACTGGTTCACTCCCCAAGTGGCCGCAATGACCAGAGCTGAGCTGATCCAAAGCCAGGAACCAGAAGCCTCTTCCAGTTCTCCCACTCAGGGTCCCAAGGCTTTGGACCATCCTCGACTGCTTTCCCAGGCCACAGGCAGGGAGCTGGAAGGGAAGTGGAGCAGCTGGAGTACAAAACGGCACCTATATGGGATCCCGGTGCATACAAGGACTTTAACCACTAGGCTACTGCACCAGGCCCATAAAATACTTTTTACCAAAAAAGAAAAATCGTGGCATCAGAATTAAGAAAGGACATGGACTCCAAGGAAATGTGTCGAAGAGGATGTTAACTGACTTACTGCCTCTAGGTCCGAAATGCCTTTTCTCCTGCTCTGTGAAAATTGATATGAAGAACTGTCAGCAGAGGGCGCCGGAGAGACGCCGCAGGAAGATGGTTTCCTAGCTCTGGCTTGGCAGCGCCCTGCAGCGCCCAGGGCTGCTCCACCGTTTGGCTCCTACATGGGCAGCTTCTCCAGCGCACTGCTGCAGCTGTGGTGGACAGCTCCCGTTAGTGCCTTTTTTAAAATAGAGACTGCTGTATCGACACGCCTCTTTATGAATAGCTGTCCCCCAGCACTAAAGAGCAGGTCTGCAACCTTTTGCTTCCAAGAATTAGGTATTCTTTTTTTTTTTTAAAGATTTATTTATTTTTATTACAAAAGAATAATTTTTATTATTTTATTTTTTTTTTATTACAAAGTCAGATATACAGAGAGGAGGACAGACAGAGAGGAAGATCTTCCGTCCAATGATTCACTCCCCACGTAAGTGCAATGGCCGATGCTATGCCGATCCAAAGCCAGGATCCAGAAACTTCTTCTGGGTCTCCCATGCGGGTGCAGGGTCCCAAGGCTTTGGGCCGTCCTCGACTGCTTTTCCAGGCCACAAGCAGGGAGCTGGATGGAAAGTGGAGCTGCCGGGATTAGAACTGGCACCCATATGGGATCCTGGTGCGCTCAAGGTGAGGACTTTAGCCACTAGGCCATGCCGCTGGGCCCAGAATTAGGTATTCTAAACTGAACAGGCCTTTAGAGCCCCCATCACTACTCGGCCCCACCACTGCAGCAAAGGGACAGCCACACACAATGCGTCCATGAATGTGTAGTAGTGCTCCAATAAAACTTGATGTTGACATTTCCTAGAATCTATTTTACCTAGTTTCATTTACTTGGAAGAAAGAGTAACTAAAAGAGAAAGAAAAAGAGATCTTCTGATTCACTCACTCACTGCCTGCCCCGGTCAGGGTGGAGCCAGGCGGAGGCTCCTGCTCAGGGTTCCAGCCAGGCCTCCCGCACACGCGCAGCCCTGGGGCCTTCACCTGCTGCCTCCGTGACTTCAGCAGGGAGCCAAAGCGACATGGCTGGGACTCCGAATAACAGTTATATTTGCTGCTCGTGCCCATTTCCACCTCGCATGACAAGTTGGCAAACACTGATCATTTTAAGCCAGTAAGTATTATGGGTCAAGTCCAGGCATAGGTGAACTGGGTGGATTAGCGATTTTGCTATTACTAAAATGAAAACGCCTGATGCTGGATAACTTTCTGGAGAAGAGAGGTTTGTTACTTGGGCTCCCAGGTCTGGTGTACAGTCAGATTCCTTCCTGCTGGCAGAGTCCCCGGGCAGCACCTAAGAAGCAGGCAGAGCACGGTTATGTCTCCGTGCACCTGTCTCCTTACAGTCACCTGGATTCAATCAGGAGGGCTCCACCATGCCTACTATCTGACAGCTTGCTCCCAGGCCCTCGGCTAAGTACCTAGAATCGCCACTCAGCTTTTTAAAATGATTGATTGATTTGCAAGGCAGAGTTAGAGAGGGTGACGGAAAGAACTTCCATCTGCAGGCTGGTTCATTCTCCAAATGGTCACAACGTCTGGGGCTGCGCCAGGTCAAAGCCACGAGTCAGGAGCTCGTCTGGGTCTCCCATGCAGCTTCAGGGCCCAGGTACTTGGTCCGCCGTCCACTGCTTCCCCAGGCGCATTAGTAGGGAGCTGGATTGGAAGCAAAGCCACTGGATCTGGAACTGGCACCCATCTGGGATGCTGGCGTCAGAGGTAGTGGCTTAACCCATTACACCACAATGTCAACCCTAAGATATATATTTTTTTTCTAAGATTTTTATTTATTTGAAAGGCAATTAGAGGGAGACCGAGAGATCTGTCATGCACTGGTTCACTCCTTAAAATTGCACCACAGCCGGTACTGGGTAAATCCAAAACCAGAAACCAGGAACTTCATCTCATCTCCCACATGGGTGCAGGAGCCCAATGCCCAACCTCTGCTGCTTTCCCAGGGAGGGAGCTGGATCACAAGTGGAGCAGCCAGACTTGAATGGGGCCTATATGGGATGCTGACATTCTATGCAGCATCTTTACCTGCCACTCTTAAGACACTTAGGAAAGAAAATGTGGTGCTGGCTCTGTTGAATTAGCAAGCTAATACTCAGCCTGTAGTGCCAGCATCCCATATAAGTGCCCAATCTAGTCCTGGCTGCCCCACTAACCAATCCAGCTCCCTGCTGACACCTTGGGGAAGCAGTGGAAGATGCCTCAAGTCCTTGGATCCCTGTACCTACATCGAATCCCAGAAGCTTCTGGCTCCTACTTTTGGACCAGCTCAGCTCTAGCCATAGCAACTGGTTTAGGAAGTAAATGAGAGGATGAAAGATCTCTACCTCTCCCCTACTTCTCTGGCCCACCTGCGATAAAACAAATCTTAAAGAAAAATTCCTCTAGCTATGTCAGACCCAGGAAAACGAATCCCCCTTTTAATTAAAAATCAACAGATTCTGGGTCATAGTTACATCTGCAAAATCTGTTTACCTTCTAACTTCATCTTGGTCGAGATAGCCATCACATTCATGGGCCCTACTCTACTCACAGGGAAGGGATGGTGACTGTACAAAGTCCACACCCAGGAGGGCAGGAAATCTTAGGTGCTGGACTAGAATTCTGCCTACTACAGAAGACTCAAAATTCTAGATGACTGTTTAAATCTGATTTCCAACATTTTTAACATTCTTAACTATTTTTAATTCTTTTTTTTTTAAAGATTTATTTTTATTATTTTTTTATTGGAAAGGCGGATATACAGAGAGGAGAGACAGAGAGGAAGATCTTCCGTCCGATGATTCACTCCCCAAGTGAGCGCAACGGGCCGATACTATGCCGATCCAAAGCCAGGAGCCTCTTCCGGGTCTCCCACGCGGGTGCAGGGTCCCAAAGCTTTGGGCTGTCCTCGACTGCTTTCCTGGGCCACAAGCAGGGAGCTGGAAGGGAAGCGGGGCCGCCGGGATCAGAACCGGCGCCCATATGGGATCCCGGGCGTGCAAGGCGAGGACCTTTAACCACTTGCGCCACCGCGCCGGGCCCAACTATTTTAAATTCTTAAAAAATTCTTAACTATCTGAAAGTTCAGGAAACTTCATAGCAGCTTATCTAGGTGACTGGAAACCAAATGTGTTTGTACCATAATTTTAAGCTACTGAGCAAGTGTTGTGCTAAACAATGCTCTGACCCCATCATCCGCAAACCTAAAAAGCAGGTATGGGTCACCTGAGGAGCCAGTGACTCAGCCAAGGATTCAGGGGGAAGAAAGGAAGTTGATTAAGGATGCTAGCAAACAGGGAGGTGGCCGGCTGGCACCTCAGCGAGGGTCAGAGAGGCAGAGATTGAGCTGGCAGTGACAACCAGGAAAGCCATGTGTGGGGTGGGGTCCTTACCTGGGGACCAGGTGCTCTCATCCCCTGCGGTCATTGTCATCAGCACCCAGGCTTCATCCCAGGGAAGGAGGCCCCAGGGCAGACCAAGGTGGCTTAGGCCTTTGGATCCTCACAGTGACATCACTGGCCTGCCGCTCGCCTGCCTCCCAGCCAGTCAGGGGCTCACAGCTCTTCTCATACGTGTGCCACAATGCCACGCCAAGGCACAATCTTAGCTCCCAGTCAGTAGAAAATTGCTTAATTTTTATGTTTAAATGCTCTATATTATAGGCTATACAATTGTTTTTTTGAGAGACAAAAGGAGGAAGGGAGAGAGGAGAGCTCCGTTCCACGGGTCCATTCCCCGAATGCCTGTCACAGCCGGGCCAGGAGCTGGGAACTTCATCCGAGCCTTCACTGAGCCATCTTCTGCCTCCCCACGTGCAAGAGCAGGAAGAAACAGAGCAGCCAGGACTCCAATCAGCACTAATACACTGATGTACTGTGGCTTCATCCACTTTATCACAATGCTGGCCCTACAGTGTACAAATGACCCTAACACTCATACTGTGCTCAGCAGTCACTGTGCTTCCTAACTTCTTGCCTCATGTGCATTGTATAAAACTTGATATACAGGTCCAGGAGCTCAATTGGCTAATCCTTTCCTTGGAGTGCCAAGATTCTATAAGGGCACTGGTTCGTGTCCTGATTGCTCCACTCCACATCCATCTCCCTGCTTGTGGCCTGGGAAAGCCATTGAGGATGGCCCAAGGCCTTGGGAGTCCTGGAAGAAGCTCCTGGCTTCTGGTTTCAGAATGGCTCAGCTTCAGGGCTGTTGTAGCCATTTGGGGAAATGAATGAGCAAATGGAGGGTCTGTCCTCTTCTCTGTAAATCTAACTTCCCAATAAAAATAAATTAGAAAAGAAAAGCCTACGTGGTGGGGGCTAGGTCCGTGAGCCCCAGGGGACAGAGGTCTGGCAGGGCCCTGGTCACCTGGCCTGGATCCTTGGCCCACCTGTGCGTGTATGAGGGAGGGGTGGCCAGGTCCCTGTGCCCTGGGACAAGGAATCCAGCAGGGAAAACATTGAGCAGCAGGGTCTAGTTTGTGTGCCCCTGGGGCAGGGGTTCCAGCGGGACCTGGGTCACCTGGCTTGGGTCCTTGGCCCACCTGCACAGCAGGTACCAGATCTGTGAACCCAGAGCTTGGGAGGTCGGGCAAGACCAGGATCACCTGATTAGGGTCCTTGGCCCACCTGAGAGAACTGGTCTTCCTCAGTGGAAAAGACGGACTAGTAGACAGCTGGCCCAGATCCACACAGAGGATGTGGCAGCCCATTGAGCCCTGCAGGGGACAGCTGTACCATGCCAGAGGAAGGAGGACAGAATAAATTGGATAACTACCCCAGCCAAACGATGACAGCAAAAATCTGGGCAAATTGAGACTCTGAGGTGGGCTATGTCAGCCAATGGACAGTGAAAGGGTCCCTCATCCTTGGATCGGTGAGATCAACAACAGTTCAGAACTATCGAAACCACCTGAGCAGAACCGTCAGCATGTGCGCCACATGGGGACCCTGACTTGACACCAAGTGACCATTCTCCATCCCTGGGTTCTGGAGCAGTTGGGAGGCTGGGTAGGCTTCTCCACTTCACCCCCTCCACCCCAAACAAGGAAAAGGGAACATTTGGAAACAATGATCACACTCACTCTTCCCTAACCCTTGATCCATCCCATTCTGATCAACCATGTTAACATCATCTAAATTTTTTTTTAAAAAAGTTGATATTCAATGTGATTCGGACAAATTCAATTTAAAAACGTTTTATTTCAACAGTTCAATAAAAAAAGTTTGTATGTACAACACTCAAAGTAAACAGAAAGGCAGCTTTCAATCACAAATGGTCCAGCAGTCACTCAATTTGTGGAAGCATGTTGAGCACACACCCCTGAATGGTACACATAAATAACTAGCCTTTTGGTACAGCTCTGGGTTCTAAAATAGATCTTCATGTACAAGACATTTGGGGCCACATTTTAAGATTGGTAATGCCGATTTCAAGCTGCTCATGTTTTGAGTTTACGTTTCACTATCACAAATGCATGACGTCAACTAGCTCAACAGTAACCCTCACAGGTCATCTATCTCATGCTCGCACGCCTGGAACCAGTCCACTCGCTCATCTTCCTTCTTGCAGTTCATCTTCAAATGACAGAAGTTATCCATCATATTCCCTGTGCATCTCGCCCATCTCCTTTACCTGAAAAATTAGAAATGTTCAAGCTCATTCTGAAATTAAAGAGAAAACATGATTCTCATCTACAATGAAAGTTCCTTTAAATCAAAAAAGAGAAAGCTTTATGCCAAGGAGACATACGCTGAGGGCATGATCCAGCCTGCTGTTGCAAAGTGGCCAACAACACAGGAGAAAACAGCACGTAGCTAGTTCTTTCAGATAGGCAAAGATTTTTACTACCTGTACACTTAATTGTACAGCTAGGAAGAATTCAGCTCATTTCCCATTACTGTTACTTCTGTTTGAGATAACAGAGACTCGGCATTAAGTGACATACCCCAGACAACACGGCGGGTTCAAGGCACTGCTGAGTGGCAAACTCCAACACTCCTCTGGGGGCCCTGATGGCTCCCTGGAGGTGTCTGGACTACCCTCCCCCGTGCACAGAGAGGATGGGGAGACTTAAGAGACCACTCAAGCCTGTGCTGCTCTTAACCACACCACTACAAAGCGATCCTGCTTGCTTGCCCAATTAGAATTCAATTTAGGATGAGGGCCTTAGGCCTACAGTCACCTAACCAGAAAACTCGACGACAGTCATGCACGGCTTAGGGCTGCTTCAGTGACGGACTGCACACACAGCAGTCGCCCCAGATGATAAAGGCACTAAAAACTTCCTACCACCTAGTAGCATCACAGCACCCTAACACCCTGCTCACATGTGTGTGTTGCCACCAATATAAAACTACAGCATGAACACGCGGAACAGAACATTACGCTACATGACGACAAATGGCTATTACTGATTATGTAGAAGGGATTCTACTATTATTAAAAAAAAAAACTAAAAGCTTGAAGCATGCCGTGTTAGACCAGTGGTAGCCTTGCACCTCTCAACTGTGCAAATATTTTGTGAGGTTTGCACACCAACCATAACACTTTCCACCACATTTCTTAGCATCCCCATCACTAAACGGCTGGTGGCTTGTACAGACATGGAAGACTTGGAAAGCACACAGAAAATGGACGCATATAGCTCAAGGACTCATGTGTCCTCATGCAATGCCAAGTGACTGAAACACACAAAAACATCAAGACAGGAAGCAGGGAGTTAGCTGTAAGTTTCTGTAATGCCATCACAACAAGCTTCCAGAAGATTCCACTAATGATGGCACTGTGTAAAAGAGACATCACAGGTTTCCGGTTTCCCTCCTCAAGGGAAGTCACTACAGAGCTGAGGGGAGAGCACACTGTGCCTACCCCCGCTGAGGGCCCTGCCGAGGAAGGGAGAACCCTCAGTGCCTGGGAAGCATCGTGCCCACAAGGCCTTGCCCTCCCTCGGGTAACCCATTTACCTCAGCCTTCTCATACTTCGCATTCCTCTTCTTTCTGGACATGACCTGCATGAAAGAAAAACGAGTACCATCTCAGGATGGCGCCTGAAACAGAGGTTGGTCTACACAGACATTCACACTTTTAAAGGACATGATTCCAATCTGAATGAATGATTTGAAAATCTACTCATGAGCATGTATGAGGAATGCTTCTTAAACTGCTTTCACCACTAAGGCGAAAAATGTCCTACTATAATCCAGTGAGACAAACCTATGCTCACACACACACACACACACACACACAACCAGGACCATAATAATCTGTTTGACACACATCTTGTACATGTCAGCCATCCAAACACAGGGAATCAGGCAACACCGTAAGAGCTCACTTCCACCAGTGCATAGCACGGACAGAGCGTAACGTTCCCCTCCACTCTGCTACTGAAAGCACTCGTTTTTCAGCTGCGTCGGGCAACTGTCCCTGGAGTGCCCTGTCCTGAACGCTTCCTTACTGCATCCGCCCCTCCCGGATAATTTCTGTGAGTCATCTGTCAGGTGTCTCTTTGCCACCCGAAGTTCCTCTTCCAGGACTGTTCCATCCATACATACTGTCATGCCCCAGGCTTCTGATTTGTGGAAACTCCTTGGAGAGTATGCACTTTAACGATTTTTGCTTTAAACATTGTGAATATATTGCCCAGCCTATCACTGGCATTTTATACTTTGCAGTACCTTCATCATACAAAACATCTCATTTTCATGAAATCACAGACTAATGCACACATACACACATACACACACACAGGGTCTTCAGAAAGCTTATGGAAAATGGATATGATAAAAAACAAGTACAGATTCCAAAATTTTATTGCATCAAAACTAAATATTTTAAATGCCATTTTCCACAAGCTTTTTGGAATATTCCTGCATATATTTATTTTATATTGATTTTCTCTTTATGAAGTCTCGATCTCTTGCTTCCCATGGTTTCATTTACCATTTCCTAACTTAGCTTTCTTTTGACTTTTTACATTAAACTGGAATCCATGTGGAATGTGTTTGAATGTGGGTGTGCCAATTCCTCCCTATCGCTGTGCTCACAGACACTTATGGACTCTGGTCCAACTTATGCTTTCTTTCCGAAGGACAGCCAACACGGTTAACTAGCGAACCCTCAGGTTTCCAGTGCTCTGTGCCACCCTGCCTTCCTGGGAAGCCCAAAGTTCACTGTGCCCCTCTGTACTTGGACCTGTGGCTTCCCAGTGAGCCTTTCCAGCTCCTCCCCGCAAACTTGCCCTTGGCTCTGCTGCTCCACTTCATGGAATGACAGGACTTGGCCTGTGCTGCTGCACTGACCCTGGCAGGACTGTGGAGCTAACAGGGCTGGGCGACCAGCTTCTCTCCACTGAGGACCCTTTCTTCATTGAGAGACTGTGGCCAAAACAATGGATAAGCTCACTGCACAGCAGTGTGGCAAATGAAGCACTTGTTCTCAGAGTGCCCAGATGCCGCCACTGGGACTTGACTGTCCCCGTACTCACCAGCACAACAATTCCAGCGATAACCGCTAGCACCACCACCACAATGACAGCAATGATGCCAGCCTTTAGGCCCTGCATGGAAAATTCAGGTGCTTTTTCATCAACGTAGTAGATTAAAGTTTGACCAGGATCCAGTTCCACTGGTTCCCCATTGACTGTCAGCTCCATTTTGTTAGAAGACTGGATCAAGGATTCACCTTTAACCTACGTGGAGAGGGAGAAAAACATTAAAAAGAAATCCATCCACAGCCACATAAATACTCATCAACTATTTGCCAAAAGAACTGCTGCCAAAATTATTTCAGTGATAGTAAGATAATCCTTTGAAACTAGGAAAAAAAATGAAGGATGAAAGAAAGAAAAGGCCGCAGTGGTTCTAGTCCCAGCTGCTCCACTTCTGATCCAGCCCCGTTTATGGCCTGAGAAAGCAGCAAAGGATGGTTCAAGTCTTGGGACCTGCACCCACAGGAGAGACTCAGAGGAGTTCTTGGCTCCTGGCTTTGGATGGGGCTTGGCTCCAGCTGTTGTGGCCATTTAGGGAGTGAACCAACAAATGGGAGATCTTTCTCTCTGTCTCTCCTACTCTATAAATCTACATTTCAAATAAAAATAAAACAAATCTTAGACAAAGACCAAACCTGCTTATTTCAGGAAATCTTCAAACATCCGTAAGAGTCTGATAATAAAGACCATGTATGTATCATGAAGATTTCACCGGCACAGCACAGCTAGAGTTCCTTCTCCATTCCCCATCATCCACCCCAATCCCAAAGACTCTGAAGCACATTTCACATGTCACCAGAAAACACTAACATCTAAACAACATGTCAGAATCATCTCAGTTCCAGATCACTTTTTTGAATCCAGATTCTTGTTCGTGGGAAGTTTTACGAGCAGGCAGAGATACAAACTACCAGGGAGGTATTGTTCAATGATGGTGCCAGCACAAATACATCAGTAAGAGAGGGAGAACAAAGTGAAGCATCACTTGCAGGTTTTGCAGAGAAAGCAGAGGGAAGAGCTCAAATCCACTGTGGCGTGACAGACTATCCTATTTCTGAACACAGGAACAAAAGCATACTCACATCCTTTTCAAAATAGTAAGCCACATCGGCTATATCCACATCATTCTGAGTTTTCTGGGAAGAATTTTGCATCAGATCAATAGTGATCACATTATTCTCATACTGGAAAAAAAATGGAAACATACAAATTAGTATCGGTATTACCAAGACAACAAATAAATCCTTATTCAGGAACCAGAACAGTCGGTCGGCGTTCCTTTGCAGCAGCGGGCAATTCCAGCTCTGGTTCACAGAGAAATCTCTGGAAGGTCTGTGGATCCGACCAAGGGTAATAACTCAGAAACAAAACAAAATCTAGTAACAGTGTTCATTTATAGAATGTTTTTGTTTTCAAGAGATTTTAAAACAAAAGACTCCATATGGTTGTTTTTTAATTAGAACTCTTTTAAAATTAAAATACTAAAGAAATAACAATCCAAAACATGTATTCTCACTTGGCAAAGTATATTTCTTCTAAAGGGCTTTTTCAAAAATGATACTGGTGTTAACCTGGAAGAATAAGCCCATACTCCCTGTCAAGGGTTCTGGCACACACGCCAAGTGTGTTTTCCTGTTTAGAAGAGTTGGAAGTGCTTACTAAGGAAGGGTTTAGTTCCTTAACCCAGACAAAACAGGAGCACAGAGGCTTTGTGAAGGAAGTCTATGCTAAAAGCAGACTCCAGGGCAAGGAGCTGGGCACACTGCACGGATGCAAAAGACACAACATATTCTCCAAGGGCTAAACTGAGATTTTCAATGACCATGGAAAAACAAAATCAACACCAGAAACTTTTTTTTTTCACTGAGTGTGAATTCAGTGCCCAGAAATGAAACTGCCATTTATACCCAAACTACACTGTCCCACCAACCTTCTCCCTAAAGCTCATTGGGGAGGGCGGGGGGAGTCCAGAGAGAACTTACCAGAATATCTGAGATAAATCTGGGATCCAGCAGATAACGAGATGTGAAGAGCTGTTCAATTGCTCTGTAAATAATTAAAAGTCCAAGTTTATTACTTTTTTAAAATCCTATCACCCGACAGTATGAAGCACTACTTTCTCTTTCAAATACGAATATACAACAACAGTTAACTTCGACCTGCCCTCAAAACATCACAGCTAAAGACAGAAGCCAGGAACTCAGTCCGGGTCCCCAAAGTGGGCGACAGGAACCCAATACTTGAAGCCATCACTGTCGCCTCCCAAGGAAAGTGCCCGCCACAATCAGCATCAGGAACAAGAGCTCAAACCCAGTTCTGCTGTGGGATGAGTTGTCTGCACCAGCATGTTCATGGCTAGGCCAAACACTGCTTTGTTCGCTCGTTTGTTTTTATTTAAGAGACAGAGACTGTCATTTTCTGGTTCATTCTCCAAATGCTCACAGGGTTGGGGTCTAGGTCAGAGAAAACCTGATCCAGGGCTCCCTTGTGTAGACTGCTGCCGCCTACACTGGCTGATCCCTACACTGAAGTAGGGATCAGGAACTGGAGCCTTTTGCAGAACCCGGGTGCTCTGAAACGGGACTTGGATGTCTTAACCACGAGGTCAAACACCTGCCCCGCAGCACCACTTCTTAAGTAAGCAGCCAGCTCAAGGTCTAGAACCGTCATTAGCTAAAGTTAAACTTTGATGTCATTTTGCTACTATCACTAAGATAATTGAGGCAGTCTAGGATTATCTATCAGTGATTAAAAAAAAAAAAAAGCTGTTGAGGGATGGTCTGCTTTGAAACACAACATCTGCAGAGTTTCCAAGTATTGGCAGGCTAATAGATTTCTAGACTACAGAGGGCAATGGTAACTCAGAGTGGAGGAAATCGGTGGGTACCTTGCCCACCAAAGCCGACAGGGGACATATGTTATTCTGATATAAAATACGAGGAAGGACACAGGATCACTTGAGAAATTTTCCTGTTTTGCCCAACTCTTCAAATGTTAGACAGAGTCAGGGCGGGGTGCTGTGGAGCAGCAGGTTAAGGGGCTGCTTGGGGTGGCTGCAGATCCCACATGAAGTGCAGGTTTTAGTCCCAGCCATACCACTCTGACCCAACTCCCTGCTAACACATCCCAGGAGGCAGGCTATGACCCAAGCCCTTGGGCCTCTGCTACTCAAGTGGAGGACCCAGGTAGAGTTCCAGTATCCTGGCTTGGCCTGGTTCAGTCATTGTGACTATCTGGGGAGTGAACCAGTCAATAGAAGATCTCTCTCTTTCTTGTCATCTTTCTTCAAGTCAATGAAAATAAAAATAACACACATGCATATGTCATTATACTTAAAATGTCACGACAACTAAGAGTAATATGTGATCTTGGGTTGGGCTCTGGACCAGAGGAGGAAGCTGCCACAAAGGACAGCAATGAGAAAATGGGAAAAATAAATTAACTGAGTCTGATTATTATACAAGATCAAATTATATAAACAAAAGCATTTTGGTCTTAAACACAGGCAGATGGTACACACACAAAATATGTCAAAATGTTAGTAAATCCGAGTGAAGAGAATCCCTGTTCTCTTCTTGCAACTCTATTTCCACTGACTGATTTTGCTCCCCAGAAATGCGAACAAGGCCTCTTGGCTTGGTTTTCCTACTGGCATGGGACAGAGGACAACACCCAGCACAAAAGCCACCAAGACACATTCCACTGCACTTACTTCTTCAAACTTTGAGTGTCATAGGGTTTCTGTCTTTCTTTGTGCTTTAGTTCAATGATGATCCAACTGTGAATGAGAAGGAGAGCATTAGACAACCGGCCCTTCTCAGTCCTTCACACTCCTGTCCCCACGAGCTGCAACTAAAATCCCCAAGTGGAACCGCTACAGCTCTCACAGAGAAAAAGGCCTTACAGGTGGACACATAAACCCAGAATTCCATCCCCCGGCCCTGACCTCTGCTTCATAAAGGGCTCACGTAGGAGGGAACGCTCATTAGTACTGACCCTCTGTTTTCTGGCTGCAGCATACAAGGCCACACAAAGCTGGGGCTGTGGCAGCCACATTAGGCTGTTCCAGCAGACAAAAGGGTTCTGAAACAGGAAAGGCCGACCAGGAGGTCCCAGAAAGTGGAACCCGAGAGTGCCGCCTTGCCCCTTCCAGTCTCTGCCTTTTGTTTGCACAGGCTGGCCAGAGTGGCTTCTGTTCCTTGTCATTAATCCCTAAGACAATTATGCCTGTTTTAAGACACAATAAATTGATCCAAAATGTAAGTAGCTTCAATTATGAACACACTCAACACTAATCCAACTTTAAAATACCGACACAATACTAAGCGCAAATGCAAAAAGAAAATTATGACATGCTTACTAGGACACTGGCAGAAAAGAAGTGTATTTATTTCCATGCATATAAAACGACCTTAAAAAGTCAGGGGGCAGTGGTGTGGCATGACAAGTAAAGCTGCTGCCTGTAATGCCGGTACCCCATAAGGACACTGGTTCAAGTCCCAGCTGCTCTACTTCTAATCCAGCTCCCTATTAACGTAGCTGGGAAATCAGCAGATGATGACCCGGCTTCACTCTCCTGCACCCACACAGGAGACCCGGAAGAGGCTCCTCGCTTCCGCCTGGCCCAGCCTCAGCCACTGTGGCCATGTGGTGAGGGAGCCACCAAATGGAAGCTATTTCTCCTTCTCTCTGTAACTGCCTTTCAAATAAATCTTTTTTTCTTTTTTCGGTTCATGAATATACATATTATTGAAAAAACTATGTATGGATTTCAGAAACTTTTGTTAACAAAATAACCTCATCTTCTCATTCTGATTTTCCATCAACTTTTTGAAGAATCCTCTTAGAGATGTGTGTGTGTGTGTGTGTGTGTCTGTGTGTACAGAGTAAATTCATAAACAGATGACATCAGCTCTCGAAGGGAACACTGGGCAGGTGGGGAACAGAGAGGTCACAGACTTTTTAGCGGGCACCTGTCCCATCTTCTGACTTGTAAACCACGTCATCAGGTGACACATTCCCGACTAAAGTTACTGAAACCGCAGCCTTACTCACTAGGTCCTCACTCGCTCGGGGCAGGTGATCTCGGTGTCCTTGTCGGTCCTGCGCACCCCAGCCGTGTTCACACACCAGCACGTGGCGGTGCCGTTGCACTGCTTGGCTTTAAAGAGGCCCTGCTCATCGCAGTCCGGGTCGTAAAGTCCATCATTGTTCTGGATGGCTCCTTCCGGCTTCACTCTCCTCCCAGACTTCGAGCTGGTAATTTCCGCCTTCATCACCAAACACTTAGACGCCACTAACAAGAAAGCCAAAGGTCAGTCTCAGAAATGACAGCAGTTTCACACATACGGGAATGAACTCCCAACTCCCAGGACCAAAGATGATTTCAAACATATACCCTCCCATGCCTATTTTCTGAAGAAATTGCAGATGAGAGATAAATACGGCAAAATAACATGATTCAGACTGGAGCCCAGGAAATGCTTCCCAGTTCAAGGTGTTTCCACTGCAGCCACAGCAAGTCCCAACCAAGCTGGAGGGCCCTGGGGGGTGGGGGGGGGTGGGGAGTTCACTTACGTTTTGAGCACAGAACAGTACTTTGTGAACCGATTGAAGTACATTGGCAGTCATTGCTCTTCTGCATGCAGTTGGTGGTGAACTTGTAGTTTTTACAGACACAATCTACAAATTCCAAAAAAAAAAAGTCATGATGTCCCAGCTGAAATACTGCCTGACACCAAACCTTAAATAAGGCCCCCGAATGTCTTCGTTTTCAGCTATGTTAGTGTCTCTAAAGAGGCCGGCATTGGCTAAACAGAGTCTCGTCTATGTGGATGCTCAATTTCATGTTTTTCAAATCAGAAACGAAGGAGCTGGCACGTTAGTTCAACTAGCTAATCTTCCACCTCAAAGTGCCAGCATCTCATATGGGCACCAATTCATGTAACATCCAGCTCCCTGCTTGTGGCTTGGGAAAATAGTAGAGGACAGCCCAAAGCCTTGGGACCCTGCACCCGTGTGGGAGACCTGGAAGAAGCTCCTGGCTTCTGATCAGCTCAGTTCCAGTCACTGCGGCCATTTGGGAAGTGAACCAGCAGATGGAAGATCTTTCTGCCCTTTTCTGTGTAAACCTGACTTTCCACTAAAAATAAATCTTTCTTTAAAAAAAAAAAAGGCCCAAACACAGCTAACACAGCTCCATGACTATATATATCCATTTTGCCTTTGTGATACCACTAAGCTACGTTCATTTCCTGTCCAGCTATTTCATTGGTCAATACATCTTTTAAAAACAAAATCCCAACACTTCCAATTGTATGTAGGTTTCCTCACCAAGTTCAAACCGCCATATCCAACTTTGAAAGCTAGAATCGACAGCCTCACAGCCTATCTGGGTACCGCTATCTGTTCAGTAGCCATAATTTTGACTAACTCAAAAATTCATTTTAGGGGGCCATTGTTGCAGCACAGTCGATAAAGCTACTGCCTGTGTGTGCATATGGGCACCCCATGTGTCCTTGCTGCTCCATTTGCTCTGCTAATGACCTGGGAAAAGCAGCGAAAGAGGGGACCCTACATCCGTGTTAGAAACCCAGAAGAAGCTCCTGGCTCCTGGCTTCCGCCTGGCCCAGCCCTGGCCATTACACCCATCTGGGCTGAGTGACCCAGAGGATGAAAGAACTTCTCTCTCTTTTTCTGTAACTCTGACTTTCCAATAAATAAACACATCTTTTAAAAATTCATTTTAAGTTCAAATTTGCATGCCCATCTAATTCCTTTTGTTTGGTTGAGAACACTTGGGAGGATGCTGTGGCACAAGGCTGTACAGTATTCTAACGACAAAGAGACAGCAATGAGTAGCAATAAGCTCCAGGGTGAGGGGCTTAAGAACATTTGTACTGATCCTTTGTAAAATGGCTTTCATTTGTTTATAATTGCCATCACATTAGGCAGTACCAAGCGTGGTCCAAACACTGATTCACGTTCAAGTTGAGATGGAATTTAAATTAGAGCAATGAGGGGCAGGATTCTCTGAGCAAACGCCCACAGCAGCCATCACCACTTTAAAACGCCTCAAGATTAGGTATTTAGTCCCAGGGTGAAACTAGAAAAACGTAAATTAATTCAGCAGCAAGAAAGTGTAATTCGTGAATTCCGGCCATCCTGCCAGCGGCACGGAGAAGCCTTCCCAGAGCCTGTCTAGCAACCGTCTCCCAAACAAATCAGAAGAGTGGCCAAGTACGAACCACAAGCTCAATATGCGGGCAACGCTGCGAACTTCCACTCCTCCCATTGTTCGGTCTTTTTCAAAACCAAAAGAAGTGGGCTGATATGTGGGGAAAGCAATCGAGATATGAAACTACATGTTTAGGTTTAGAGTGCTGTTGAAAGCCACGTCCAAAAGAAAACAAAAATTGACATGGCTGCTAATGATGGGATTCTCAAAGACGGAGGGATTAAGCTGTTCGGTTAAACGTTCAGTACAATAAGGTCGGCCTTATTCATTTGACGCTTAGCAAAGCCAGAAACAAGCCTCTATGGGGAAGACACAGGTGCGTCTCCCGCGCGCAGGTGCACAGCGGCCCTGGCCGCCTCCCAGCAGTTACTATCCGCGCCCGAGGCCCACATCCGGGCCCCGAGGAGGAGCGGTATGGCCGGCCGCGGTCGCGGACTCCATCACAGGTGTTGGCTGACTTGGGCCTCGGAAGCCCAAGTCCACTCCGGCCGGAGAATGGTGGGTGCTCCCCGAAGAGGGGTTCCGAGTCCGCCGGATCCCCGCCCTGGGCCACTTCCCTAGAGAGGTGAGCAAAGCGGCTACACGAGGCTGCCCGGAGCCGCCGCCGTGGTGCCCGCGCCGTCCGTTTTCCCTGCAACAAAATCGCGGGCTTTCGCCCCACTCCACGTTACCCAGTCCCGGGAACTGAGGACCGCCATGCCCGGGCCCAGCTCAACTCCAGTTCAACTCCAGCTCAACTCCAGCTCAACTCCAAGTTAGTGCCTCACCTTGAGCAGTGACCGTCGCCGCGGCGAGCAGGAGGCTGAAGGCGAGGACCCGAAAGGGCGCCATGCTCTACGCGCGCGCTAAGCAGAGGGTCGCCGAGTGGCCCGGGACTCGCTGGAGAGCGCGCGGACGGAGCGGGGCGCGTGGATCCCTCTGGCCGGAGGGCTGGAAGTGAGGCTGGGGCGCCTGAGTCTGCGTCAGGAGGGCCCCCAACGAGGTGGCTCCGGGGCTCAGGTTGAGCTGCGAACTCACCGAGGGACTGCGCGCTCTGGGCGCACGGCGGGGCGGGGCACAGACCTGCTCCACCTGGCGGCCCCGCCTCTCGGCCGCATCCCGGGGCTGCTCACCTTTGTTCCCCGACGCTCGGCGATGAGTCACCGCACGGGGGCGGGAGGAAGGAGCGGTCTCCACCCCCCAACCCCGAGCGGCGACCGGGGTGCCTCCTCCTTCCCAGGAGTGCCGCGCGCCCAACCTGGCACCGCCCCCAGGTGCTTCCTTCTTGAGCCCGCTGCAGGTAAGCTGGCTGGGCGACCTTGAAGGTAGAAAACAAACTTCCTTTCACCTTAAGGCTTTGGTCATGAAGAATGGGGGCTGGGGCACAGAGGGGACTGCCAAGGGATACGTGGAAGCTGCAACGGGATACGGACCCAAGCAGCCAACCATCCTAGGTGCAATAAAAATAAAACCACGACCTTTGAGCCTTACCACGCAATTTAATTGAAATTAGGGAAAAGAGAAAGAAATCTCTCTGGCTTATCAGGGATGACACATTCCTGGGATCTTTATAATTACTCTTACTAAGCCTTTTTTTTTTACAAGTACTTTTGACCCTTAAAGATGTAAAGAAAGAGGTTCCCAAACGTCTAAATGCTGGGAACTACAATCATTTCACTTTTGTTCATATATTAGAGAATACTGTTGAGCGAACATATTCTTTTTTAAAAAGATTTATTTATTTTTATTGCAAAATCAGATATACAGAGAGAAGGAGAGAGAGAGGAAAATCTTCCATCCGATGATTCACTCCCCAAGTGACCACAACAGCCGGTGCTGCGCCCATCCGGAGCTAGGAGCCAGAAGCTCTTCCGGGTCTCAAACACAGGTGCAGGCTCCCAAGGCATTGAGCCATTTTCCACTGCTTTCCCAGGCCACAAACAGGGAGCTAGATGGGAAGCAGGGCTGCCAGGATTAGAGACTGCGCCCATTTGGGATCCTGGCGTGTTCAAGGAGAGGACGTTTGCTGCAGGGCCACTGCGCTGGGCCATTAACATATTTTTTCAAAATCAAAAGGCAATACTTCATTTCTGTGTGAATGAGTACAAATCACTTCACACTATATTATTACAAACTTAAACTTAATAATGAAACTTTTAGGGGTGAGAATTTGGGGAGGGAGTAGAGAACTTCCAGATCCTATGGAATTGTAACATAAAATTCACAATTTAAAAAATGTTTGGGCCCAGCACGGTGGCCCAGCAGCTAAAGTCCTCACCTTGAACGCACCAGGATTCTATATAAGTGCCAGTTCTAATCCTGGTAGCACCACTTCCCATCCAGCCCCCTGCTTGTGGCCTGGGAAAGCAGTCCAAGGACAGCCCAAAGCCTTGGGACCTTGCACCCCGTGGGAGACACTGAGGAGGCTCTAGGGTCCTGGCTTTGGATCAGCACAGCTCTGGCCATTGTGGCGACTTGGAGATTGAATCATCAGACAGAAGATCTTCCTCTCTGTCTCTCCTCCTCTCTGTATATCTGACTTTCCAATAAAAAATAATTTAAAAAAATGAAACTTTTAATAACTTACAGTATTTGTGTTTTAATGGTTTTTTTGCTGGCTGTAATTTAGCTGCTTAAAAGAGACTATCAGCTTATGAAATCATGGAAGAAAGAGTATAAAAAAGCAAAGATGAAAAAGCAATCTTAAGTTGCAACTACATTTGATGTAGTTTGATCTCATGTCAAATCAAATATTATGTTTTTATTAAGTCATAAATAAATGCTTTGTACTTCACTGTTGAAGTGTGAACAAGTTATTTAAGGTAAAAAAAAAATTGTAAGTGCTCCTACAATCTGAATTTTACTTGGCATATTACATAAAGATTTATTAGATTTTTCAAATCTTCAGAAAATTCTACCAGTAATTCACATTTAAATCTGAACTGCTGGACCCAGGTTTGAATTGTTGTGGTCTGTTGAGCAATGCATGTGAAAACAATCATATCAACAAATCAGGAACCACGTGATTTTTGTTGTCTGTAGAATTTTTTTAATAGATTTATTTTATTGGAAAGGCAGATATACAGAGAGGAGGAGAGACAGAGAAGATCTTCCGTCCGATGATTCACTCCCCAAAATGGCTCAACGGCCAGTGCTGTGCCCATCCGAAGCCAAGAGCCAGGAACTTTCCTCCAGGTCTCCTGCACAGGTGCAAGATCCCAAGGCTTTGGGCCGTCCTCAACTGCTTTCCCAGGCCACAAGCAGGGAGCTGGATGGGAAGCGGAGCTACCGGGATTAGAACCTGTGGCTATATGGGATCCAGGCAAGCAAGGCAATGACTTTTAGACACAGAACTTTTAGTGTGCTAGGCCCTGTAGAATTTTTTTAAATCCCATTTGTATTTTTTTCAAATATTTATTTTATTCTTATTGGAAACATAGATTTTTACAGAAAAAAAGAAGAGAGAAAGATCTTCCATCTGTTGGTTCACTCACCAAGCAGCTACAACGGCTGGAGCTAAGCCGATACAAAGCCAGGAGCCAGGAGCTTTCTCAAAGTCTCCGACACTGATGCAGGATCCTGAAGCTTTGGACCATCCTCACTGCTTTCCCAGGCCATAAGCGTGGAGCCAGATGGAAAGTGGAGCAGTCAGGACACAAATCAGCACCCATATGGGATGCCAGCGCATGCACGGTAAGCATTTAGGCACTGAGCCAGGCTCTGTCTGTAGAATTTAAGGTGTTTTCAGGAAATTGAATAATTCCAGCCCGCATGCTTTTTGCCTTGAGTGATCTAACTAGTTGCTGTGCCTCTATTTGCAAATTGTTCCGTTGCCATGTCTAAATCTGTCACCTCATCAAGAAGATTCTCATCTTGTAATTTGACAGCTGTTTATTAAATTGTTCATTGCAGTAAGTGAATTGGATAAACATGATTATTGAATGACAACCTGCCACAGTAACCTCTGAATCATAGTATCGACTCAGACTTCCAAGGTGTTTATTTGTACAGCTCCTTAATGCCTCAATTAGCATTCACTGCTCAAATGACTAATTTTATGCTTGGATTGGAATCTTTTGTAGTTTCAATGTCATGTTTAATAATATTTCCTGGTGCCAGGGCTGCCCAATACTAGATAAAACTACCGTGTTAGAACTTACTCTGACACCCATATTGGGTACTGACTGCTCTACTCGTGGTCCAGATCTCTGCTAATGGCCTGGAAAAACAGCAAAAAATGGCCCAAGTTCTTGGGCCCCTGTACCCATGGGAGAGACCCAGAAGAAAATCCAGGCTCTTGACTCCCGCCTTCGGACCAGTCCAGCTCTAGCCGTTTGAGGAGTGAATTAGTGGATAGGAGATCTCTTCAATTTCCTCAATAAATAGTTCTGGAAAAACTAGCGGTCCATACAGAAGAATGAGTCCACAAAACCATGTATAAAAATCAACTCAAATGGTCCCGGTGGCATGGTCTGGCGACTAAAGTCCTCTCCTTGAACATGCCAGGATCCCATATGGGCACAGGTTCTAATCCCAGCAGCTCCACTTCCCATCCAGCTCCCTGCTTGTGGCCTGGGAAAGCAGTCAAGGACAGCCCAATGTCTTGGGAGCCTGCACCCGTGTAGGAGACCTGGAAGAGCTCCTGGCTCTTGAATTCAGATGGGCACAGCACTGGCCGTTGCGCTCACTTGAGGAGTGAATCATGGTCTCTCCTCCTCTTTATATATCTGACTTTCTAATTAAAAAAAAAAAATCAACTCAAAGGTCTGGCACAATTATCTAGGGGCTAAAACCTTCACCTTGCATGGGCCGGGATCCCAACTGGGAGCCAGTTTGGGTCCCAAATGATCCTCTTCCCATCCAGCTCCCTGCTTGTGGCCTGGGAAAGCACTATATGATGGCCAAAAACCTTGGGACCTCCTTCTTTCTGTATATCCACCTTTCCAATAAAAATAAAATAAATCTTAAAAAAAAATGTAAATCAGTTCGGTCAATTCCAGCTTCTCCACTTCCCATCCAGCTCCTTGCTTATGGCCTGGGAGCGCAGTGGAAGAATGCCGAAAACTTTGAGACCCTGCACCCATGTGGGAGACCTGAAAGAAACTCCTGACTTCAGATTGCTTATCTCCAGCCTGACAACCACTTGGAGAGTGAACCAGCAGACAGAAGATCTTTCTTTCTGTATCTCCTTCTCTCCATAAATCTGATCTGCCTTTCCAATAAAAATAAGTAAATCTTTCTTTTTTTTTTTTAAAGAAGGTTGTGTGGAGTCTCCTCCAAAAATTAGAACTAGGTGAACCATTGGGCAACCCTGCCACGTTCAGTGTATCCAAAGGAAAGAAAAGTCAGCGTGTCAAAAACATAGCTTTAGTCTCTTATGTATTTATCTACAGGTGTATTTATTTTTTTTTAAAGATTTATTTATTTTTATTACAAAGTCAGATATACAGAGAGGAGGAGAGACTGAGATAGAGAGGAAGATCTTCCGTCCGATGATTCACTCCCCAAGTGAGTGCAACGGCCAGTGCTGTGCTCATCCGAAGCCAGGAGCCAAGAACTTTCCTCCAGGTCTCGCACACGGATGCAGGGTCCCAAGGCTTTGGGCCGTCCTCGGACTGCTTTCCCAGGCCACAAGCAGGGAGCTGAATGGGAAGTGGAGTTGCCGGGATTAGAACCAGCGCCCATATGGGATCTCTGCGCATTCAAGGAGAGGACTTTAGCCACTATGCCACCGTGCCAGGCCTGTGGGTGTATTTATTTTTGTTGGAAAATAAAATTTTACTTATTTTTACTGAGATAGAAAAGACGGAGAGAGATCTTCCATTTGCTGGTTCACTCCCCAAGTAACCATAGCAGGCCAGACCTGCTGAGCTGAT